GCCCGCCGGGGGTAAACATAATGAAAAACCGGTGGGTGCTGACAACGAAGTACCGCATCGACGACACTGTCGAGCGCGAAAAGGCGAGGCTGGTCGTGAAGGGCTTCACGCAGGTGTATGGTGCTGACTACGACGAGACGTACGCGCCGGTGAGCAGCTACGTCACGCTGAGGATTTTTCTCAGCATCGTCGCCGTCCTCGACCTCAACCTGATGCAGCTGGACATGAAGAACGCCTTTTTGCAGAGCAAGCTCGACCGCGTGCTGTACATGTACCAGCCGGACTACTTCAACGACGGGACCGGCCGGGTGTGCAAGCTGCTGAAGAGCCTCTATGGGCTGAAGCAGTCGCCGCTGCTGTGGTACACGGCTCTCAACGACGTGTTGGTTGGCGCCGGGTGGAAGAAGAGCCAAGTCGACGAGGCTCTGTACTTCAAGGTCGGCGACGACAAGGTGACCTGCTGGGTGCTGGTCTACGTCGACGACCTTCTCGCCGCGAGCAGCAGTACCACGATGCTGAAGGAGCTGAAGGAACTGCTGGAGGCCGCTTTCGAGCTGCGCGAAATTTCGCCGGTGCAGAAGTATCTCAGCCTGGAGATCGTGTGCGATAGGCCGGCACGAAAATTGTGGCTGCACCAGCAGGGCTACGCCGATAAGCTGCGCAGGCGTTTCATCGACGAGGAGCAGACCGGGCACACCCCGAAGACGCCGGTCTCCGTCGGCGCCTACGCGGAGCAGACATTCGACGACGAGGAGGCGCAGGAGCGCGAGGAGGAGGAGTACCGGCAGAAGGTCGGCTCGCTGCAGTTCGCGGCGACGACGACGAGGCCGGACATCGCGTTTGCGTGCAGCAAGCTGGGGAGTGGCCTCACGGTGAGGAGCGACCAGCACTGGCGCGAAGTCGACCGCTGTCTCGCCTACCTTGCCAACACGCGAGACACCGCTCTGGAGTACGGCGTTGGTCCAGAGTCACTGGAGTTGGTCGGCTTCGTGGACGCCGACGACGCGGGTGACAAGCAGAACCGGATGAGCACGGGCGGCTACGTGTTCATCTACGGAGGGGCCGCGGTCTCCTGGTCGAGCCAGCGCATCAAGTGCGCGACGCTGTCGTCGACCGAGTCGGAGTACGTGGTGGCCGTCGAAGCCGGCAAGGAGGGACGTCGCCTTCGCTTCCTTCTCGCGGAATTCCAGCGGCTGGACGCCGGAAAGCCGACTGTCCTCAGGGTGGACAACAAGTCGGCTATCACGGTCGGCGAGGGCATGGGGTTAACGGGCAACCTCAAGCACATGGAACGGCGACAGGCCTGGCTGCAACACATGGTGAAGCGCGGGAAGTTTTCGCTGAAGTACATCCCGACCGCTGAGCAGCCGGCCGACTTCCTGACGAAGGCGCTGCACTACCCGGCCTTCAACCGGTGCTCCGTTGCAATCGGCCAAGTGTGTCTGGCCGATGTGGGCGACGGTGACAACGACGTGCAGCAGTAGGTGCCATGCCCTTTTGCATGGCTGGTGCGGTGACCGGCGTGCTGTGCGTTGTGTGCACGCCGATGGGCTATTCTCCGAGAAGTACTGCCGTGTGGGCCGAGGGGGAGGGGCCCAAGCATGAACGCGGCAGGGGAGTGTCAACAGGAGTTGTGTTTGGCCCCGTCCTCGCTTGGGCGGAGCCGACCGTGGGAGCCACGAAATTGCAGTGGCCCGTGGGAGCCACGAAATCGTGGGGGACCACGGAGCCACGAAATCGTGGGGGACCGCGGAGCCACGAAATCACGGGGGATCGTGGATCCACGAAACCGCGGGAGGACCACGATCGTGGATCGCCGGTGGCGACGGTGTTGACCGAGAAACCGCGGGAGGACCGCAAAGAACCCGGTCAACCAGGATACCCGGGCGACGTACGCGAAAGTCGCCGGGGATGTTATCTACGATGGCGATCTCGGGGGTGGTTTCCCGAGGTCGACGTGGCTGGTGGGCGCCGTCACGGGCGGAGTGTCTGCGCTGGGCATGTGACGGGGAGTTGGGCGCCAACCAGCTGCACGCACCTGCGAAGCTGGTGCACCGTTGTCCCGCGGATGCGACGCTGTGCAGCCGACATACTGCAGCGTTGGCGCACCGCGGACTTGCAACGTTGGCAAGCCGCGACTCTGCTCTGCTGGAGCGCGGTCGACCGAGTTGTGCTGGCACGCGGTCGACCGTGCTGCGCTGGCAGTGGACCAGCAAGCCTTGCTAGGTCTGGTGTAGTCAGTGTTGCCAATGGTGATGTAATCATTCTGAACTTTTGTTGTGATGTTTTCCTAGTGAAACTCTTGCCAATTTTCCCCGTGAACTAGCAAGCAGTGTTAGCACTCGGAAACGACTAAGGAACGAACGAACGCTAAGATCACTCTTGCCCCGTGCCTAGCCCGCAGTCTAGCTCCCGTTGCACGAGTTATCTCCGCAGTAGGTCGTCGGGCATTATATCCTTGTACTGCTCCAAAACCTCCTTCACTGCTGCAGGTAGCTCTGTGTTCAGCTTCTCCTCCTCTGCTGCTGCCATAACCAATGCTAGGTATCCCGAGTTCTTCTCGTTCACTGTCTGTTCAAACCGTGCCAGTGTCGTTTCAGGAACGTCCCCTGTGTCCGTCGAGCTTCGTAGTGATATTCGCTTCCCGTTGTTGTAGATGCACACCTTCCTGTTAACCCAGTCGATCTCGGGGTTGAACCGCTTCAGGAAATCTCGCCCCAAGATGAAATCTAGGCACTTGATATTCGTGATCGGCAACGTCGGCTTCCACCTTAGCGCCCCTATGTGCAGCTGCAGTGATGCTTCGCCGTGGATGGGAAGTTTCGTACCGTCCACCATCGTTGCCGAGAACTTGGTCTCCTCGGAAGGTTCCCCAATTTTCTCCAACGTCCTGCGGTCACGTAGTGAGTGAGATGCACCACTGTCCACCAGTGCCTGGAGGCGTCGTCCTTTGCATAACACCTCGAGGAGTAGTGGCGCCTGCTGCGCTGAGTAGCAAAAGAGGGTCTCATTAATAGGATCATAGGGTACATCAAACTGAATACCATCCCTATTTCCTATACCTGACTCAGCACTTTCCTCTTCCAACTTCACCTGGGGGGTAGGAGGATTTTTCCGAGGCTTGTACAACTTCTCAGGAGCCTGAAATTCTCCTCAAAGCCTTGGCAGCTGTGTAGGCTTCACCTGTGGGCAACGGGGAGCCTTAACACTGTGCTGCGGGGAGAGAATATTAACTCCACCGAACGCACGACCCTTTTCTACGCTCCGTAGTACTTTGCCCAACTTCTCAGGTACCTGAATAATCTCTAAAGGCTTTTTCTTGGCCTCTAAATCTCCCCTGAGTTTTTCAAAGGCTTGAAAACCACGAGAAGCAATAGTCTTCGTTATAGTATCTTTATAGGATACTTTTAACGAATTCTTATTTTCGTGGGTGTTTAGCCTCGGCGATTTCCCTTGATGTTGGTTGGTCGTGACGTTTTATATTCGCGCCATCATTTCCTCCTTTTTTCACCCGCTCCGAAGTCGCCACGTCGTCGCCTTTTTCTCGTTTTCGGATCTTTACGCGATCGCTAGGTCGATCCGCGGCTACTAGCGATTCCCGTTTTTTTACTTCGGGGGTGCTCCACTGTTACCGCCCTGCAGTGCCGCACGTGCCTTTTTCATTTTATAGCACGACAAAAACTGATGCCATGCTGCGCCGCAAAATTCGCATTTTGTCGGCTGCTGCTTCGCGTCGTATTTGTCGATGTCCATCGGTTCGGCGAACGTGGGGGGTGCCGATCGCTCCGTGCCGAATGTACGGTTCGACGTGAAGCGTCGTGTTTCGGGTTGACCTCGAGTCAATGCGTCGTATCGCTCGGCAGCACGCACGATGTCGCGGTAACTGTTGTAATTCGCTGCGATGACCTGTCGGCGGATCTCCAATTTTAACCCTTCTGTGTACGCCTGGATTTTTTCGCCTTCGGTCAGGTCGGTGATGCGATTGAACAGGAGCTCCATTTGCTGCGTGTACTGTGCTACACTACTGTATTGCTTGTGACGGTGTATTTGCTGCCGTGCCATGTAGGTCCTATTAATGGGCTCGAAACGTTCGATGAGGTCTGCCCGAAACTGCTGCCACGTTTTCTCCCCGCGGGCCACGTCAGTGTAGTAGATCCACTCCAATGCCGGACCACGTAACAGTGTCGCTGCGAGCCGAATCCTTGCCGTTAAAAGTGGCGAACAAGGAATGACCGAACTAGCAAGGAGATGGGCACAAGTAAGAAAACCTAGCAGTGTTGTACCCCATATAGTCTAACCCACTATAGCCTACACAGACTATGTCATATATGTTTGACACAACCCCATAGGCAAAGTGGGGGACAACAAGAGGTCACAAGACCAGTCAAGCAAAGCAAGGCAAGCTCAGAGTGGATCACAACGTCACCACACAATCTGAGCAAAAGCACAAGGCCACAAGGCCAGTTCACATGCAGAGTTATATATCAAGGTGAACAAGCAAGGCAGTGATCTCAACCTAGCAAGGGTAAGCATGCAAGTGCATGTATATCTAGATCACAGTACAAGCAAAGTCAAGAAGTGAGCAAGTGAGGCCAAGTAGGCACAAGACCTAGCATCGTACAAAAGCACTGATGATCACAAGGCTGAAGTGCCTTGGTAAAGATATCAGCAGTGTTGGCCCGAGAGGCCACGTAAGCAAGGCGCAGCTGACCACGCTGCTGCAGCTCATGAGCAAGGAAGTAGCGAAGAGCAATGTGCTTCGTTCTGTGCTCCAGTCTGTACTCCCGACACAAGGCCAGCATGGCCTTGTTGTCTACGTACAGAACTGGAGGAGAACGAGGCGGCTCTCCCAGGTCAGTCAGCAGGTAGGTGAGCCAGCGTAACTCCTGTGCAGCCATGGCCCCTGCGTAGATCTCAGCCTCACAGCTGGAGCTGAGAACAGAAGACGAGCGGGTAGACCGCCACGAAACAGAGCCGGAACCAAGGCTGAAGGTTTAATCCTATGACGACCGCTGCGTAGCCAAGTCGTCAACCCAAGAAGCCTCTGCGTGACCAGTGAGGACCACTGGACTCCACCCTCCAAGCACGAGCCCCATGCCCGACGTACTGCACAAGTATCGCAACACCCTCTTCACTGCAGCCATGTGCTCTGGTCGGTGTCTCCCAGGAGCAACATAGCGTGCCAAGATGCTAAGAGGGTATGCCGGGTCAGGTCGAGTGCAGGTCATCAGGTACATGAGGCAGCCAACAAGCTCTGGGTATGGGCCACTCGGCTCTACGGACTCATCCGAAGGCAGAGCTGAGAGCGAGTGGTGAGTAGACAGAGGAGTGGCCTGAGGCAAGGAGTACGTGAAGTCGAAGCGCTGAAGGACCTGCTGCACCATGTGTGACTGAGTCAGGGTAATGGTGCACCGTGCTCTGTCCCGGGTGATAGCTGCGCAGTTCACCCAGGTCTGTGCACGTGTGTCTCTTCTGCAGCTCGGACTTCACGTGGGCGAGTCCAGCAGTGTCAGCAGTAGCAAAGACCAAGTCGTCGACGTACATGACGATGTAGAACGACGGCAAAGAGGTGTCGGTGCGTAGAAACAGCGATGGGGCAGCAGTAGAAGGAGCAAACCCAAGGGCCGCAAGCGTAGTCCTCAGTGTGTCGTGCCACTCACGGGGCGCCTGGCAGAGACCGTAGACTGGCCGCCGGAGGCTCCACTGGGTACCAGGAGGAAACGACCCAGTGAAGACAGGTGGGCGGCGCAGCCAAATCTCCTCGTGCAGGCTGCCCTGTAGGAAAGCAGTGCTGAAGTCAAGAGAGTGAAGCTCGTAGTCGCGTTGAGCGGCTATGTGCAGCAGCACCCAAAGAGTGGTCATCTTCGGGGTGGGAGAGAAGGTTTGGAAGTAGTCAACTCCCTGTCGCTGACTGAAGCCTCGAGCCACGTAACGCGCCTTGAAGACAGGTGGAGAACCCGGCGGCCGCTTCATCCTGAAGATCCACATGCCAATGACGATGTTCGCCCCAGGTGGGGGAACCTCGTCGACGTAGGTGCCTGTGGACTTCCAGGAAGCCATCTCTACGTCCATGGCTTTCTGCCACTGAGAAGAGTAGGGACCCTCTATCGCCTCTGCGTAAGAGCGCGGGGTCGGGATGTCTGGTGCATCCGGGTCTCCCTCAGGGGCAAGCAGCATGGACACGAGATGAGGTAAAGCAGCAGCAAAACACTGGAACTCCTCCTGCTTGTCCTCAAGGACGTCCGTGCTAAGAGCACACTCACCCCCGACGGACGGAGGACAGACAGACACAGACTCAACAACAAGACTAGCGGCGTAGTCTAGACGACAGTGAGCAGCGAAGTGGACAAGCTCAGCAACTAAGGCAGACGCAGCAGTGGACTCAAAGGAAGGGTCAGTGACAACAGTAGCCAGGAGATGCGTGACAGTAGGATTGGCAGCACGAAGGGAGTCAGACTCCGCGTCAGCAAGAGCAGGAAGAGAGGACTCTGGAGGAGACGGCAAAGGGACATGCAGTGGAGCAGTGGAAGGACGCAGTGCCATCTGGTGCGTGCTTGGGACCGCAGGAGGACGCTGACGCGGAACACGACGAGGGAGAAGGAGCAGGCAGTGGGGAGGCCAGCTGTAACTGTGACTCGAACTGGACAGGCGGGGGACACTCTAAGGAAGGAGCAGGAGCAGTAAAAGGCAGGAGACCAAGAAACTGCTCAAGGAGCGGAACGAAGTACGGCCGCAGCCGCGCAGCACCTCCAGAACCAGCACGGACAGCACCAGCACCCCCAGCGTCAGCTCCAACAGCTCGAGTAGCACCACCAGCTGCTCCAGTAGCGCGAACTCCAGCACCCACAGGAGCACCGGCTCCAGCAGCACCTCCAGCTCCAGCACCTCCAGCAGTTCCAGCTCCAGCAGGACTACCGGAAGACGAAGCAGCTCCAGCTCCAGTACCTCCAGCAGCACCTACTCCAGCAGCACTGCCAGCTCCAGCACCGCCAGCAGCTCCAGCACCAGTAGCACCAACAGGCCCAGCAGCTCCAGTACCTCCAGTACGAGCACCTCCGGGATCCGTGGCTCCAGAACCCCCAGCAGCCCCAGCAGCAGAAGGACCTCCAGCAGCAGCATAAACTCCAGTGCCGGAAGCACCACCAGCTCCAGCTGTGAGGATCTAGGATCGAGCTCAAAAAAGAGAATGTGAATTGAATTGAATCGAATTATCACCTGGGTACAACACGAGGCTATATATAGGCTCGACACAAGGCCCAGTAACCAGGTGTTACGCGAAGGTTCCGCGGGTCGCGAAGCGTCCCGAACAGATCCTTCCCGAATTCGGTAGAAGGCAATTCGGTGGCAACCAAAAAGCCAGAATTCGGTGCACGCAACCTAGCTCGGTGCTATAACTATAATAAAATATAGGAAAGCACCTAGCCTAGGAAATCAAGCAATTCATGCATGCATATAATTATCCTATGCTAGAAATAGCATGATAAAGTAAAGGCAAGCAAGCATAGCTGGCATAAGCCGTCGTACTCTCACACCAGTAGCACGGCTCCAGCGCCGAGCAAACCACTCGTGCAGCTCCTGCGGAGAGAGTAGCTCCCGCCGGGACGAAGCACCCAAAGGACCTCCAGGCCCAGCAGCGCCAGACTCCACACGAGCAGGCCCAGCACCCTCAGGCTCCGCACCCCCAGACTCAGCAACCCAAGGCTCAGCACCCCCAGACTCAGCACCCCCAGGCTCAGCACCCCCAGACCCAGCACCCCCTGGCTCCGCACGCTCGGGCTCAGCACCCCCAGACCCGGCACCCGCAGGCTCAGCACCCCTAGCAGCACCAGAGTCAACAGCTACCTCGACAGGCTCGACTGCGTCTACCTGGGACACACCTGAGGGGGCAGGACCCTGAGGGGGGAGGGGGCCTACCGGGGGGGGACCTGGCGCGAGGAAGAGCGGCGGGGGGGGGAGGGGGGCAGCGCGGTAGGGGAAGAGACGGTAGTAAGGAACCGACTCGTCAAACGTGACGTCCTGGGAGGACAGAATACGGCGCGAGGTGGGGTAGTAAAACTGCCAACCAGGCGCGTCAGGGGGGAAGCCAAGGAAGACGCAGGGAACAGCACGGGAGGACAGCTTGTCCGCAGACAAGTCGCGGACGAAAGCTCGAGATCCCCAGACACGGAACGCAGACACATCGCCAACCTTCCCCGTCCACCGCAGTGTATGGGAGGTCTCCGGCATGGAGACCCGGGGCTGAAGGTTGATCTGATGCCCCGCGTACTGAACCGCGAACGGCCACAGAAAATGGGGACCAGCCGCATGGATCATGGACGTACGAGCGACGTCCATGACCATGCCAATGCGGCGCTCAGCAATCCCATTTTGCTGCGGAGAGGCCAGAAGCGTGAACGTCTGGCGGATGCCCTCCGCACGACAGAAGGCTCGCAGAAGGTCGGAGGAAAACTCTCCACCTCTGTCGGAGTGCAGACGCAGAACAGGAAAGTCCGAGCCGAAACTCTCTCTGAGCTGGAGACGGGCAGCGCGGATCCAGTCGATCAGCACCTCAGTGACCTCACCCTTGCAGCGCAAGGGGAAGACTGTGGTGTAACGCGAGTAGTCGTCAACCACCAGCAGGAAGTAACGCTCATGACCCTGTCCACGGACGCGGGCTGGGCCCCATACGTCCATGTGGAGAGTCTGCAGCGGAGCCTCTGTCGGAGGAAGCTCGGAGGAGTAAGGAGCGGCGCGCTGCCACCCCTCGACGCAGGGAACGCAGGTAGGGGCAGGCCCTGGGGGAAGGGGAGGGAGGGACCGGGGGAGACCAGAGACAAGGACTTGGGAGGCCATGCCTCGGAGACGAGGCAGGGAGGGGTGACCAAGGCGGTGGTGCCAGAGGAGAGTCTGGTGAGATAGGAGACGACACGAGCAGGGGACAGACTCAGGACCAGACCTGGACGCTGCAGCAAACACCTGACCCGACGCAGCTACCTGACCAGACGCAGTAACCGGAGGAGACTCAGTAGTCAGTGTGTACAGGCTCGACCCCGGCTGACGGGTAAACGTGGCCAAGTGTCGGCCCGTACGAGCACACGTGCAGTGGGTCACTCGCTGACTCGCAGGAGTGAACTGGTCAACCCCCCCATCCTGCAGGTCAGCACCACTCACCAAGTTCGTAGAGAACAAGGGGAGGTAAAGACCTGACAGGGAGCCAAACGGGGCCGCCGGACACGGTAGGACAGTGGAGTAGTGGGCAAGGACAGGACCCTCATAGGGGTCTGCCAGGGAGACTGCAACCGGCCGACTAAGCGGCGTGAGTGTGGTGCGGTCTCGAAAGAAGGAGCGGGAAGCACCCGAGTCAAGAGTGAAGGTGTGCAAGACCGCAGCAGGCGCAGCACCAGAGAGAGCAGACTCACCAGCACCTGGAGCAGTAGACTCACCAGCGCCTAGAGCAGCAGTCTCACCAACACCTGGAGCAGGAGACGCACGAGCACCTAGAGCAGCAGCCTCACCGGCACCTGGAGCAGGAGACGCACGAGCACCTAGAGCAGCAGCCTCACCAGCACCTAGAGCAGCAGACTGGATACCAGGGTCAGGCGGCACACACAGGTGACAGGCACCCTCAGCACTAGTAGACAATGCATACACGGCAGTGAGGAGAGCATCATAGTCAAGAGCAAAGATATCTACCCTCTGCCTAAGCAGCTCCAGCCAGGAGGGGAGCTCAGCGGCGTCGCCAAACTCTGTACGCCAAGCGTCGCTCAGACGGGCGAAGCAGCGAGACTCTGTGTGACTAGGTGTCCCGCAAGGCTGACCAGTCCGGACACCCGTGCGAATGATGTACGGGCAGCGAGCAGTACTCAGTGACCCTCTACTTTGAGCGTACCACTTACGAAGCTGCTGGGGCGAAAGAGCCTCGCGGGGACGACGCTGCAGCTGCACCTGGCCACTACCAGAAACTCTCGAACTACCCACGCCAGGGCGACTCCCACTACGGCCACCCCGACAACCCCAACTAGCGTACCACTCACGAAGCTGCTGGGGCGTGAGGGACTCGCGCGGACGACGCTGCAGCTGCACCGGGCCACTACAAGAAGCTCCTGAACTACCCACTCCAGGACGACTCCCACTACGGCCACCCCGAAAACCCCAACTAGCGTACCACTCACGAAGCTGCTGGGGCGTGAGGGACTCACGCGGACGGCTCTGGAGCTGCATCTGGCCACGCCTGGAGCAGCAGTAGCAGCAGTAACAGCAGTAGCAGCAGTAGTAGTAGCAGTAGCAGCAGTAAAAGCAGTAGCAGTGGTAGCAGCGCGGGCAGGGCAGTGCTCACCAGTGGTGGGAAGGGCAGGCGCAAGACGGCGGCGACGGCGGGGCCGCTACAGGTGCAGGGCTGGGCCGCAACCGCGGCAGGGAGCTCCACGGCAGCTGCTGCAGGGCGGGGCCACGACTGCGGCTAGGGGCTCCGCGGCAGTTGCTGTAGGGCGGGGCCGGGCCGCGACGGCAGCTGCTGCAGGGTGGGGACAGGGCCGCGACGGCCGCTGCTGCAGGACGGGGCAGGGCCGCGACGGCAGCTGCTGCAGGGTGGGGCAGTCCGGGATGGCAGCTACTGCAAGGCGGGGCAGCGCCGCGACGGCAGCTGCTGCAGGGCGGGGCAGGGCCACGACGGCAGCTGCTGCAGGGCTGGGCAGTCCGCGACGGCCGCTGCTGTAGGGCGGGGCAGGGCCGCGACGGCAGGATGCTGCAGGGCGGGGCAGGGGCGGCCGTCCCAAGGGCGGGCGCGGGGTAGGGCAGGGCGCCGCGGCGGGCAGGGGCGACGCCGCGCGGGTCCCGCAGGGGCGTCGCGACGAGGGGGGGGGCGACGCCCGGGTCCTGTTAGGGCGTCGCGACGAGGCGGGGGCGACACGCGGGTCCCGCAGGGGCGTCGCGACGAGGCAGGGGCGACGCCCGGATCCCGCAGAGGCGCCGCGACGAGGCGGGGGCGACGCGCGGGTCCCGCAGGGGCGTCGCGACGAGGCAGGGGCGACGCCCGGGTCCCGCAGAGGCGTCGCGACGAGTAGGGCGACGCGTCGCGGGGTCCAGGGGCCGCGCCGCGGGGTCCAGGGGCGGCTGCGCGGGTGCAAGGCAGGCCCGCGCGCGGACTGCAGGGCAGGGCGGCAGGGTGGCGCTCGAGGGCGCGGGTAGGCAGGCGCTCA